TCTGTAATGTGTTCCAGTCCCAAGAGGAGATGTCTAGGAATGATCAACATCCATGGTCACATAACAGTTACATTAACACCCGCCTACCCCACAAATGATTAATTTTGGCCCTTGTGCCCATGTACTTAAAAGAAAAAGCTTAGGAAAGTGACCTTTGGGCAATTTCAGTATTTCAGTAGTGCCATAAGGCAAGCCAGCTCTGCCTGTGCCTGACAGCTCAGCCCAGACGGGGTATTTTTTATAGCTTTGCTACAAGAAAACACTCACACATGTTCAACCTCTCTAATGTGCTTTACTGATGATGTGATTCTAAAGGTAACTGACAATAAAGCAAATAAATAAACAATAAGTTAAAACACAATACATTTCCAGATAGTGTTTCAAAGGGCTCGAATGACTACCAGGCTCCAATACTTTAAAACAACATTAACATTCAAAGTGTATCCACACCTATACTTAACTTACACTAAACACTTAGAGTATACATATACTTAACTTATACTAAACACTTAGAATATACATACTTAGAGCATTCATATATACTAACACATTTCAAGACTCCCAACAACTTATATTTTTGGTTACAGTCCCTGTATATGCACAAGACCAGTGAATTTCTCGAGCAATTGTATGATGGAGAAGAGCACTACATGAGACAGGCATGTGCTGGACAGGTGCTGGAAGCTGCTTGGGTAATATGAGTTTCACCTCTAATTGAATTGACTCATGGACAACCTCCGAGGACATTGCTGCTCCAGTATCTCCTCTTTGTTCCTTTCTCAGAGAAAGTACTGACATCCCCAAAGGCTTCATCATTTTGAGGTTCTGCAAAATCAAGTTCTTTCATGAAATGGTTTTCTTTAAAACAGTGCTCCACGTTCCTGTACAGAGACTCCCCAAGAGACAAAAGGACGGCAGAGTTTGGATCACTTGAAGTTAAGTCCACTGTGATCCCAGAATCACCGACACTTCCAGGAGAAAATTCAGCCAATTCCTTCAGTGAAGAAGGCAGGCTTAGAGGACAGGCACCTTGAGCTCTGAAGATGTTCTGAACAAGCTGCTCCACACCTGGGCTGAACGGCACCACATCAGTCTGCATGGCCTGTTCCACCCTCACATTGCTGATTTTCTCGGAGGCTGTGGTGGTCAAACTCTCTTCAGATGAATCGGGCCCATTAGCTGTGTCCTCATTAAGCAGCAGCCCACCATCTGCCACCTCCTCCAGAGCCTGGTCCTCTGTGTCTGGCATCGTGGCATGCAACGCTAATAGCTTGCCCTCCAAGTCACACGTGTACTCCAGGCACTGGTCACCTCTCATAGAGCTTTTCCGAGCCATCTCCATGCTCCACAGCAAAGACCCCAATTTCTTGTTTTCAATGCTTATGTCTAGGAAGTACTTCTGAAATGTTCTTTCTCAGCCAAGCTGTTTTTCATGCTTTCAAGAACCTGCTTCAGTTCTCTAATTTCCCTTCTTGCTTCCAAGGCAGCCAGCTCCGCCTCCACACGATTACACTCTTCTTCAATCCAGTCTTCCTTCCTTCTT